AGCAAGAACGACTCTATACTTTCTTTCTTTTTAAATTGTAGTAAGACTTAAGATTTTTAAAGACAAATTCTGTAAACTGCGATTTAGTGTAAAAGACTTTAGTTCCTCAAATCCTGTTGCTTTATATAATCGATTTTTATTTACAAATAATTGAAACTGTTTTCAAAAAATTACTTAAAAATTGGTTAACATAAAATTTACAATAATATTTACAAAAGAATATTATTTACAAATCTTTGACAAAATGTTAACTTTAAGTCAAGGTCATTTTTTTATAAATTGCATTTAATTTTAAACCAATTTTTTTTAAATTTTCCAACCATATTTTCTTAATAGCTTAATATCCATCACCACAAAATTAATCAAAGTTCGTTCATTTACTATTAAAGTCCAGAACAAATGTCTGAAGCCTTCCGACCCCTAACCTTCTCTACTTTCCTTCAATAAGAATCCTCAATTTCGGTACTTATTACAAGTTTTCACTGCTCTTCAATAAACCTCCTCGAAGAAAATCAATCAAAAACATTGTATAAAGAGGCAAAATCCAGCCGTCGCACAGGCACAGGCATAACCGCAGGCTCAAGGGAACTCCCGAGATAAGTCCTCCGGGAAACCGGGCGGGGGGAGGGGATATCTGAAGGCAATAAAATCCCCACCGAAGGCTGAAAACGAATCAATACTCGAATGCTCCTTGGGAAGGCCCGACCCGACCGCAACTATACGCCCCAAAAGCCCGGCGAGTCAAAGCGATTACACCGGAGCGGAGCACACAAACACCTTTTCATTTGTATCTATTAGATTAAAATTCATGTCGACGTTTGTAGACGCGTACTCGTACGCGTACGCACTCCGCACCGCAACACGCGCTTGCAGATACAAAGATACATAGGTACGAAAAATGGTGTGCTTGGCTTGGCGCTCTCGACTCACAATCATCATTGGTCTGGTCGGGTCGTTTCTGCTGCTCCTCAGCTCTCCAAGAGCTATCTGCAAACAAGAAGAGATACACTGAGGGGGAAGGGGGAGGGGTCTTCGCTACGTATCCCCAAGATACGAAGCCCAACGAAGCGAGGCGAAGCCATCAATACAAGCCGTACGACTACAGATACAACTGCTACATGAGCGACACACAGATACTCGTACTCTGTGGCAACAAGCGAAGTACAAAGGATACAAATATATCTCGTGTTCGAAATATAAAAATCGTTAAACAAAGACTGGCGTTGTTTCTGGATTTGGATCGACTGCGACTAACGACTACTGGGGAGGAGTGTAGTGGGGGGTTTCGGGGTGTATGCTTTGGCATCATCTTGCCCTCCCGCTTTTGCTTGCGGCCATTTGGGGCAACTTTTCCCCTGCAATCTGTCTCACTCTTTCTCGGCACTCTTAGCGCCAGTAAGCCCGCCTCGAAAAAGGTTGCTACTGCTAGCTGGCCAACGCCACCCCCCTCCGCTCCCCTCACCACCTTTTCCGCCCCCCCCGTTATCCACCATTTTCCCCGCCCATGGGAGAAGTTGCTGCTGCGGTTGCCAATGTTGTTGCAGTTGTTGCCGCTGTGTTTCTGCACAGAAGGCGACGGCAATTTTGTAGGCGCGCCAATGGGTTAACGTGATCTGAATTTGTTGCTCGCGAGCCAATTAATGTCGCTCTGAATTAAAAAGAAGATACTGATGGCAGATACAGATACGGATCGTAAAAGTCACTTAAAGTGGGTTAACCAGGAAACACCATTTTCTTTTTCTTAACAAGTATTTACCAAAAGACTTGAATTTACCTTTTTTATTTCAATTTTAACATTTGAGATCCGAAAAAGTCTTAGCTTATTACAAAAAAAATAAAGAATTTGTGTCTTTAATAAAATTTTTTGAAAAATATTAGTTACCGTTAATCAAATTGTATAACATTAAACCAATGAAATTTTTGGAATTTGTTTTTGTGATTGAAAAACGTTTTTTTTGTATTTCAATTTAAAAACAGAAGATTCAAAAAAGTTTTAGGTTTCGACAAAATAGATTTTGAAGAAAATGTTAATACACCTTATAAACAAAAAGTTTTCTTTCTTTAATACAATTTTATCAAAAATAGTTATTTATTGTTAAAACACATTTTATAACGTTATACCAATGTTTTTTTGGAATTTGTTTTTTAAAAACGTATTTAAGATGGTTAATTATGAAGCTAGATATTTACTGACCTATTTTAAATTTAAACCACAAAATAAATTGAAAAACTTTAAATTTAAAAATAACAAGAGAGAACGCTATAGTCGGGTTGGTGTCCCGACTATCTAATACCCGTCACTCAGCTAAAGGGAGTGCGAACGCTGTGTGGGTTGGTGACACCTTATAATCAATTATAAGGGAGATATATGTTGACAATTTATAAAGCGTACAATTTTTTATCCGTATAAAATAGTCTTCTACATTTCGATAGGTTTTAATATACACAACAAAATTGCATTTATAACGTCTCGGAAATCTTAAAGATGTGGGCGCGGACCTTTTTTAAAATCGTTAGTGGGCGTTTTGGGCGTTAGAGGGGTGGCGATCGGCTAAAATAAACTTGGCTGCGTAGTAAGCCATTGATTATGTGTGGGAAATCTCCAGACCTTCTAGCTTTTGTAGTTCCTGATCTCAGCGTTCATAAAGGTTTAAACAGACCGGACAGACGGCAGAGGACAGACGACGACGGACAGACGGACATCTTTAAATGACGTTAAGAATATATAAATTTATGGGGTCGGAAACGCTTCCTTCTAGCTGTTACATACTTTTGACGAATCTAGCAGACACTTTTTTTTCTTCGTGTAACGGGTATAAAAATATTAAAATGAAAGCACACACTTTTTTCTTCTGTGGAGATAAATATAGAATTTCCTCTTAAGGAAAACCATATCTTAACCTCATGTTAGTGACCTTAATACGGTGGTTGGTTACACTTTTATTTTGGCACTGTCAATCCATTAATTTTCATGAAAACGTACAAGCCATCGTCCCCGTGGACAAGGAAACCCCTAATAAATGACTATCGAAAAACTAATCGTTAATGTCGGGGCAATGGAAAAGGATAAAGCTCCTGGTGACTTCATTTAAATGTTGTAAGAATTTGTTTACTGCGTGTGCGACACCGAGCTCAGGTGGGCGGTAAAAAAAAAGGAAAAGAGGAAACGAGGGGGAGTGGCGGGGGATAACCACCGATTGCCATTGCCGGGAACGACAAAGTAGCTTTCGAATGTACTCAGTACTCAGTACTCGGTAGATACATATGTAGCACATAAACGCCATCCCGCTCTAACAGCTGCCGTCACTCCTCTCGAGTGGCGTTTCAATTAATTAGAAAAAGTTAAAGAAACGCCACGGCAGGAGGCAAAACAAAAAGCAAATACCTACATAATAAAATGTAAGAGCGTATGTTGTAGCAGCCAAGGCAAAAGCAAAAGCAAAAGCAGCGACGGCAGCTGCGGTGTCGTTTTTGTTGGAGCAGCGCGAAAGATGCCACCAATCCAGCCAAAGAGCCAAAGCGGTCAAGAGGGGGGAGGGTTTCAAGGGGGGGTTTCCAAGAGGGGGATACGTCAACTGCGACTGCGGCAGAGGCGGATGATAAAACATTACCCATCGCGCTGGGTTGGCCCAACCTCTTCACGAGTCTCTCGTTCATGTTCATCAGGCTTTTCTTTTTTCATCAGCGGCGAAAAGCGAGAAGCGAGCGTAAACACTTTGCTTTCATACGTCGCGACGTTCGTGTTGTTGTGTTGTTTATGGCAACAACTACACGTAGCAACACCCACGGCAGCAGCAGCAGCAACTGAGGCAGCAGCAGCAGCGGCAACAGCAGCAACGGCAGCAGCAACAACATCAAGTAGCAGCGTTGCAACAGCAGCAGCAACAACAGCAGCAACAACAGCAGCAACATCATCGCCTACAACAACATCGCCTACAAATACATACATCGGCATTTACAACAACACGCAATAACAGCCATTTTTCTAGTTGTTAAGTTAATTTTTTCATGTTCTGCCGCTCGGTGTTGCTGCTGCTGCCACCGCTGCTGCTGCTGCTGCCGCCGCCTGCTGCTGCCGTCTCGCTTGCACGCGAGCAACACGACAGCCAACGCGAGCAACTTGCGATATTGCTGCTGCCGCTGCCGTTGAATGCGATTCGTGGCCAGCTATAGCCATCCCGCTCTCGCCGGCCGCAGCTGGCAGATACTTTATTTATGGTCACACAGGCGGTAGATACTTTTTTGCCCCCCGCCCCCCTCTTGTACTACGACTACCCAACCGGTCTCGCTCTGTCTCGCTCCCTCTGGCAAGGGGTTAGGCGGCGGTTAGGGGGGGGTTAAACCCAATACCGATTCTTACCACACACAGCCAGAGCGCCAGCCCACTTATAATGATAATCATTATTGCCGTTGTTGCCGTTCGTGTTGTCGTCGTCGTGCCGCCTCGTTTGCCACTTTTTTTTTTGTAGGTTTGCTCACTCACAGATACTTTTCGACACACAGATACTTCACCACTCTCGCAGAGAGCGCTCTTCGCTCCAATACCAAGGGAAAAACGAAGTAAAAATAAGGGGAGAAACCCGTTTTGGTCCGTTTTCAGTCCGCTTTGGCTCTCTCTCGCTCACAGTATCACACAGATACACAGATAAATCCAACGAGCTGCGTGTGTGGTGGTGCGTGGGCCTGTGTTGTTGTTGCTGTTGCTGCGCTGTTTTTCGATTGTCGGTTGTCGTGTAATTCCCATTTGTCGTACACTTTGTAGTTGCTCAAGAAACTCATGTTAGTCTACTTTTGACTGTTACGCAGATTGTTCGTATCGTTCGTGTCCGCCGCAGTGCTGCCAGTGTGAAAATAGTGCTCTCTGCTCCCGCCGCTCGCCGTCGTTCAGCGAGCTGGATTCGGAACTCGGTATTCAGAATCGGATTCAGATTCAGATACTCCACTACACTACGCTACACCACCGCCCCAGAGATTCAGTCCTCCTCCGGCTGGCTGATTGATTCTTAACCGGAACATAACCCCCCGTCGGATTTAACGGATTTACCAGCGCCTGGCAATCGAACTGTTTGGCCGGCTGACTCGAGTTGGCCAGCTCCTTTTAGCCGTCGGTGAATGGAAAAAGTGAAAAAGCAGTGAAATACAGAAGGAAAAAAAGAAAACAAAACAATACAGTTAACCGCAACTTACAAGCCGGATCTAGAAAAAAAAAATCTACGTTAAAAACTAGTTCGGATCAATCACAAATCACTCTCGGATTATACATACACACACACATTTCGGTTCAGTGCATCGGTGCATCGTAACTTTAAGATTTGCTTTATAGTTTTAGTTAAAAGCAAAAATTAATATTAAATGACAGTGCACAGTAATGAAACCGGTATCTGTTTAGTAATGGTGCGTATTTCAATTTGTTTTCCCTACTATTACTTGTAAGATGGCCCCTCTTTAGCTTGTCTGGCATTTGGAATAGCGGCAATTAGATTGCACTCGGGTGAAAAAAAAAACCCGTTTGTTGATCACAAAAATCCGCTTAAAGATCACAACACATGTAGTGGTGCACAAACAGTGGGATTACTCGTACATTTTGATTTGGCAAACGGAAGACATGGATTTAAAAATAAAACAGATCAAAATGTTCGGATCGAATGTTCTGCCAAATGTCCGTTGAAAATGTCAGGACCACAAGTGTGCTACATTAGCTGAACACACTCGAAAAACTGTCTGCCAATTCGGAAAATCTCTTTTATCTGTGTCTTTGGTTGTTAACCAAACTGGCAAGGTCACAACATAGCACTCTCGGCCATATTTCCCCCTTCCTGGCCATAATAATCCCTGGTAATTCGATCCACTGGCAAATATGACCAGTTAATATTGCCTCTGTGCCTGGGCCCCCAAATGTAATCACTTACACTCGACACTCGAGCATATATACACACTCGATCGCAACTTGTGGCGCAACACGAAGGCTGAAACGGAATATCACAGAAATATTAAATGCTCTTTAAACAAACATGCCCAGTGACATGAATGGCTGTCATTCTATACCCCCCGAAAATGGCTACCCGAAAATATAATAATTTTCTTTGACCACTTCTGCTTATTGGAGTCCAGATAAATACACATTGCCTGCAGCTAGATAGTCGATAATCATCGGCGGCTGATTCAAAGAGCCAGTTGATAAGGAAGCGTATAGTGGATTCATCCATCCATCCAGCAAACACCGGGAATTAATTTTTAATCGCATAGGGCCACTTGAGTTGTCACTTGATGAAAGCACGAGACGCAACACCAACAGCAACAGCAACATCGAATCCCAACAGCAACACATTGCGGCGGTATCAATCACGACCGATACAACATGCAGCTCTGTGACCGCCGGCCTGCGATAAAAATCGTATCTTACGCCTCGGATCATTTGTAAAATGTTAAACGGGAAGAGCGGCCCCAAGAAGTGGAGAAGTTAACCGAAGAGGCAGCGATAAACAAACCTGAAACTTGTTTGTCCCCCCATGTCGCATGTGCGAATGTGTACGTTGCTCTTGTCCACTGTTGTTGCTGTTGCAGTTGACTAAAAGTGTTGACAAAAGTGCGCGATAGGCTTATGTGTGCGCACACATACTCTGTAGTATACTATATAGAGCCCCGATCCAGGCACTCATTGGACAACTTGCAATCAAATTGCTCTTAGGACGTTGCCGTTGCTGGTTGTCGATGTTGCTGGTTGTCGTTGCAGTTGTTGCTGTTGCCGCTGTCGTCGTTGGCAGCAATCGGCTGTGTAATTTAAATCAATGTTGTCAATCGAAAACATGATTTGTTGGTAATGGCGGCCCCACTTTGAAGATCGGCCAGGGAAAGGGGTTCGGTGTTTGGGTCCGGAAAGCGGAGCTGGGGGTAAAGTTTCGTTTTATTGACTGAAGACAGCGGTTCGGGATCCCTGCTCCGAGTTCTCAGTTCTGAGTTCTGAGTTGTGGCTGTGGGGATCTGAAGGGCCCGTGGACAGCCCACAACCCACTGAAGAGACGAGTGCTTATCGCGCTGATAAGGGGCAACGTTTTTAATTAAGTTTTAGTGCCAGCTGGTAGCAGGGCACAGTAGAAACATTCCGTCTATGGGGCTTTTTATCCAGCGCAGAAGCAGCGCTTTAATGGGCCGCCATAAACTTGAGAAATGGATTGGAAAAGACCAAAGTCGTATAATCGAATTTATGAAATAAATATCTGAGAAGGCAAACTTAGTGGAGGAACATCGTTTGAGATTAGTATTGTTAGTTTGCATTTATGTTACTTTTTTATTAATTCCTTAAGTATTCCTTGATATTAACACTAAAGGGTTTCTAACTATAATGAAATCAGATTCTTAATTATTTGTTACATGTATTTAAACTATCTTAATTTATTTAACAATGTTTTAAAAAAATCTATCCTTATAAAATACATTCCTTAGCTTAACTTACAATTTCTTGTTAAAACCTTTTTCTATTTGCCAAGGTTACCATCATCCTGCTTCAAAAATTAACAAATATATAGAAACTTAAGAGAGAGAGAAAAAAAAAAAAAAAAAAAAAAAAATATTAGTTTTATTTTTAGGGTTATTCTCAAATTAAAAAAAATTACTAACCATTTATCCCCTATCAATTTGCCTTGCAGAATGCCGTTTCAACTCACCTTGCCACCTCGTCGCCCAACACGCCTCCAACCAACGCTCCGCAGAGTCCGCCCTCGACGCTGCCCACGCTCGCCTGTCCCGCCGCCCAGCCGCTGAGTGCGCCCGGAATCTCCGGGCCAGGCCACAGTGGCATGGTGACCTCGACGGTGCCGCCGGGCGCCCGCTCCACCTCGCCGTGCGGTCCGTCCGCCGGCCTGCCCGCCCTCTCGCTGGTCGGAGGCCCGCCCCCGGGACCGCACTCCTCCGCCCCCGGAGGAGCCCCGGCGCCCGGAGGCGGCAATCCGCCCAACCGCTGCTGTGATACCGGCCGCACCATCTACACGGATCCGGTGAGCGGCCAGACGATCTGCTCCTGCCAGTACGACATGCTCAACTACCAGCGACTAGCCGCCGCCGGAGGAGTGCCGCTGGGCGTCTATCCGGAGGGCATGTCCGCCTACCTCTCTGGGATTGCGGCGGATCAGCCGCCGTTCTACGCCAATCCGGTAAGTGAACTCAGTCGTGAAATATTGAAGGAATTTGGGGAGACACACGTAGCTCTTACACTGGCAAAAGCCGCTATAGAAAAATCATTCCAAATGTTAAATCATTCTGTGTTAGAATTAGTTAATTTCAAAAATATTCTGCTATAGTTTTCGATACTTTATAAATTCAAGAAATAGAAAAATTCAGTTCCTAGAAAAAACCCACAATATAGAAAGAAATTTTTTTTAAGATTTGAAAATTTTAAGGAGTTACGATACACAGAGAAAATTATACGACGTGCCGTTTTATGTTTTATATTTATATTATAAAACGTTTTTTTTAAAAACCTTTAAAAAGTAAAAAAAAAAGTTTTAAAAATCCAAAGTTAAACAAATATTTTACTTTACGTTTTACTTTTTAAAATGTTTCACTACTGATTTTGCAGCTAAAACTTTTGCTAATTTTCTCTGTGTATAGATAGAAAATTTTGCCGACTTTTAAAATTTTTTTTTTTAATATGATCTTAACAGCTTTTTCGGTTTTAGAACCATGTTGTTCGCTGTGCATAATAAAGCCTGTTCATAAGTCATATGGCCCGAACAATGGCGCAATAAATTTGTGAATTTGTCGACTCGAGGAGCGGGAGACCACCGTCGAAGTTGAAGTTGAAGTTGAAGTCGCGTCGTCATTTGATCGTGTACCGGTGTACACCGAGCACCGAACCCCGTCGTCTATGCTTCCGAACTTGTGCCATGGCTGGCCTACAGCAAAGCCTCACTTGGAACGATTTGTCAGGGGCCTGGGGGCCACGGGTCCCCGGTACTTAGGGCCTAAGCCTACGCCTGACCTTTCGTTCCCCCTGGTGATATTTCAAGCCACATTGTGCAGTTCTCACACTGCAGTTGCGAAATATGGCTGGCTTAACTCGATCTGGCAATTGAGTCGGGGCATCCCGATTCCGATCCCGAACCCGCTGCACTGTCCGAATTTATGGACAATGGACTGTGGCACGTCTTGGTCACCACATGTCCGGCGCTTCGCCGTCGGCCCTTTGTTCGCATTGCTTCTAATAGCATCATGTAATTTGCCTTTGTTTGCCAACAATTCTATTTGGACACAATGTTCTCGGGGACCACATGCGGAGCCCAAGGACTGGACACCCAGTTGCTTTGGTTTTGGTTTGGGTTTTTAGTTGGAATCGGAGAAACTGCATTTACCAGTCAATCGAACTAAACACAATGTATTTTGAGGAAATTTTAGGCGGAATGGGAGAGATGTAATTCAATGTGTATCTCATTTTTAATTGTCTGTAAAACTGTTAAAAGGAATGTAATTGAATGGGGCAAACAATTACGGCAAAAGGCCATTGATTAATGTGCGTTCCTTGTACTTGTTGAAGTTGTGGTGTTATTTGTCTTGGAGTAGTCTGTAAAATTAGAACAAATTAAATTAAATTTGAAGCCCTCTTCGACTTAACTTTTAAAGTCTGCAAACCGACACAGGTATTCACTTCAAATGAAATGCTCTAATTTGTCTCCGAATCGGTGGGCATTTCGGTTCTCCTTTGTCGAGGCCTCCTTCGCTAACAGCGCCCATTAAATATGATCCGATAAAATGTCGCATTCAAAAGTGAACACATAAATTTATTTGCTTACAAGCCAAAAAGAAAAAAGTCTTAAAAGCTGACGGCACTGGGGGCAAAAAGAAACAGAAGCAGAACTCGAAACGAGCTGACGACTGTGAAATTGAAACTGAGAGTTTAATGAATGGCCCGTTGAGTATTCAGAATGCCACTCACTGGCGGAGATGAAGTCGAATGTGAATATAGCTGGCTCTGCACAAGTAGTTGCTGTGACTAAACAATCGGCGGGTGGAATGAATATTTCTGCTGATCTCTGTGAACACTAATGTGTGATTTAATATTTAATCGCCGGCCGAGTGATTTAAGTGCAATCGCTGTCCACCATTGGTGTTTCGCCTAATCAAACACATGCTCGATTAAAAATTCAAAACGAAATTTGCATTTGAACTGGTTTACTTCGAGGGAATAATGTGATAAAATTAGAGAACCGGTAGCTGGCACTCTGTATAAATTTAGCCATTGTCCCCGCGAACAAATTATGAAAGTCACAGCGAAAAGCATCGATCAGTAATCTCCGATCGCGATATATATACATATATTCCATCCGCCCGCTGACACGGCAATTTAGTTGGATGTGATTGAAGTGTCATGTGGCCGGGGCACTTGAGATCACCGAGGATTTACACGGCCGTATTGATGGCAGCGTTTAAAAGGCAAAGCAGGTCGGGTCGTGGCATCTGCTAAATAAATCATCCGGGGTCGTAATTAGTCACTTCAGCCGCCGGCGCTAAACTGGAGCGATTTCTCTTTGCATGGCCGTAGATGATATACATGTAGATATATAGAAACAGCCTAGTTGTAAAAGTGTCTGCTCAATGCGGTGGATTCATTACTTTGACACGAGCTGTCAAGCGGCTGTCAGTTTGCCGCAGCGCGGGAATATATATCCCGCTCCCAAAAAAAAAAAGAAGAGAACTCCGACTCCGAATGTGACTCCGGTTGGAAGGTGGATGACGATGACGACTCCGGAGGATGGTGCACCGCTGTCATTTCAAATGGCTGGATACATTTGAAGAGCGCCGCCCGCTAACAAATAGGCCGAACCCAGGCCGCGCCCGGTGTTTTCCTTTTCCCTCCTTCGCTTTTCAGTTTTTCATCTAGTGTTTTTGGGGGCGTCGACGGCCGATGCCGCCTCGTACCTTATTAATAAATTTGTCAACACGCAAGTGACAGCCTGTCAGGCTGTCCGCCCTCCGCTCGTCCCCCTTCCATTGCGCTCCATTCATCCGTTTATCTGTTTATCCTTAAGTCCGAAATTGACTTCGACCCCGGCGCATATGTTGCATCCTGCACTCGCTGACACTCGGAGAAATTAATTTCGTTAATTTCCGAATGTCTGACTTAATTTAAAATGGGTCTTTTGTGTATTTCCTATATCTGGACTTGTTTCAATTTTTTTTCGAGGCACAGAAAACTGGAAGTTAATGGAATCAATTAAGTGTTTCTTTTTTAAGAAAACAAAAAGCGAGTAGCTATAATAGACAGTATCTCAAAAATTGTTCAGCTGTTCCTGTAGTTTAATTGGAATAAGTAGGACAATGTCGCAAATATATATTATAATATTTTAATCATTTTTGCCAAATAGATAAACAAACCTATTTTGTTGCATTCTTTAAAAGTCATTTCAAGATCTTATGCAAGCAAAAATTAGGAATTTATCTTATAATCTTAAAATCACACTCCTACTTATGCAAATCCAAAAGAAAACAAATTAAGCTAGGTCTAAAAACCGCATGTTTTCCTTTTGGCAAATTTTAAGTGCAGTCACATTCAAATTCTAATGAGTGGGCTCCCCAGCTACACTTAAACTTTCCCTACGCAGGGAATTTTCGCCGAGAGAGCCTGGAGCCTTCTTCAAACCGAATGCGAATACACAGGCCTCCCGAAAAGCGGGCGGGTGGGTGTTTTTAGACACTTGACGCCGGGCAAGTAGCCAAAATGGTATATTGACTTTTCCCCAGTTTAAGTGCCGCAACATCATCAACGACAACAATGCAAGCATGAAATTTCACACTCGACAACATAGTCGCACTGGGTTTTCACTCCAACAAAGGGCTGGCTGGGCTCAAATGTGCGGTATACGCTCATATCCTGTGGGAGCTACAAAAACTTTTGCCCCCGGCAAGTTTTCTACATTCTGCAAAATGTAGCAGAAAGCAACTACAAATCGGACCACCCACCCTCTCTCTTTTTTGGCACCGAACCCAGTCGAACTCCAGCCCCCTCCAGATATCACACTCTGGCATTATAGAGAAAACAACCCCGAGATACGGACAGCCTCCCGACTGCGAAGGCCCGATCCTGGAACATCCAGCTCCTTGGAACCTTGGCTACATGCACTGATTTGTCAACTTTTGAAAATGTCGAAGTGTTGTCGTGTTGTTTTGGGGGTTGCTTTTCTAATGGCAAGGTGACGGCTGGGGTGTTGGGGTGTACTTTTCATGGGGTGGGGTTGGAGCTTTTAGGAGGTTGTGTGCCAAAGTACTAAATACATTTACTGCTCGCACCAATCTCATTGTTGTTGCCGTAAGTGTTGTGGAAAGTTTTTGTGTTGCTGCCGTTGTTGTTTGGCTTTTTGGCAAAGTTGAAAATGTTCGTTAACAGTAAATTTTGCACTTTTATATGGGTGGGCAAAGGAAAAAGGAAGCACTGCGCCTTGGTATTTGTGTGTGTGAATGGCCGCCCTGCCTACAACAAACAAATTAGCAGTCATGGCAACGCATACGAACAACGTACAAACAAACAGGCAACACGACCAGCAACAAAGGCAACATCCAACACCAACAACAGCAACCTCAGTGGTACAACTTTATAAGCGAGTTGTGAAAAAAAGTGTCATCGGGAGTTGGGAGCTCCAGTTTTAAAAAGGGGGAAGAAAACAAGGGTGCACAGAAAGAAATTTAATTGTATATTACAAAAAAATATATTAAAGAGAATTTGTTAATTATAAACAAAGAAAACTATACTCTTACTCAAAATTAAATAAGATAAAATATTTATTTTCCAAAATTGTCCAGTCAAAATTAAAAATTTGTACAGTGTAGATTAGCTCTCCTAGGACAGAACGCATTCTTTGGCGCGACTCAAACTCCGCGCTGTCGTCAATTTCAATTTCAATTTCGATTCCGACTCCAATTCGGAATACGAATCCGATTGCGATTCAATTCCGATTCCGATTCCATTCATTCTTCGCTGTACAGGCGGGAATGCGGCGGGCAAACGTGCGTTTATTTTTAAATCGAAGCAGCAATTAATTAACTCGACCCGTCATTACGCGCATCGCTCAAATCGTGGCGCATCAGGGCGACAGACCACAGGAGCCGGAGGCCCCTCAGGACCCCCTTTTTTCGCCAAACCCCAACGAACCGAACCATATAATCCCATTGACGTTTGGCGTGAAGGGAACACAGTCGCAGAATTTCCTTGGTAATGAAGACAAAGTCCCATTTTAATTTGAATTATTTAATTTGCCCGCAGACAGAGGAGCTGGTATGGTTTATATGGGGACCAGAGATCTGGGAGCCGGCAAACCGCACTTCCCGATGCGTGAAACGACGCACTCCGGTTGTTAAGATCCAGCGGATCAGACATCTAACCACTTGAGGTCTTGCGGCCAACGGTGGTCACTCATTCATGTTCGTTTGGTGGGTGGGGTTGAGTGTTTCTCGAGCTTGTTCAACTCGTTTTCGGACTTTTACCCACTGTTTCCTTACCAAATATTAGCTTGGACTTCACGCAGATGATTAATGGGAAGTAGAAGAGGTGATAATGGGTCTTTGTGGGGTATCGGATTTCGATTTTTTACTAGCCAACCCCTTTAGACTTTTCTATAATGTATATATATTTCATTATTATTTATAATCCTTTCCTACAATATTAAACTCACCGCTATTGCTGCAGAAATATTTAAAGAAATCAATGGGCAAAGTTCGCTGATGGTGGTCACATTGGGGCATTTAATGCCCAACTACACACTTTACAAACCGCAGGAACAAGCTCTAGTGCCAAAACTACAAACATTTGGCAAATGCATAAACATCGTTGCGGAAGAACAAGCTATCGGCAATATGCGATCTGCGCTACAGCGCTTTTACAATTGCAGTTGTCGTCGCCAGTGGTAATGCAATATTTAACTCGAAAACGAGTTGCATCTGTGCGGTGGCTGTGGATGTTGCTGCTGCAGATGTTGCTGCTGCAACTGTTGCTGCTGCTGCTGCTGCTGCTACATCGCAGTATTGGTAATAATAAACGCAAACGCAAACATGTCGAATGTTGTTAATATTAACCACCGCCAGCGCAAAAATCTCGGCACGGGTGCGTTTTCACTAGAGAGCTTATAGCTCGGTAGCTACTGTTGCTCCTCGGAGATACTTTAGCTGGTAGCCAAGCGGCAACAATTTATTATATGCGCTTTGCCCGCATCGACATGGCCTACACGCACTCGCTGCCAAACACGCACGACACAGATTCGGATGCGAATTCGGGATCGGGATCGGGATCGGAATCGGGATCCCATACCATCCTCATCCCATCCCCGACTTTCGGGTATCCAGACCCACAATTCCCGTGATAGCCGGGCGTGATTATTGTAAAGGTTGTAAAACGCAAACCGGTTTCGGTCTCGCAACGAGCTTCCATTGAGAAATAGGAGCAGCCCGTGTAATTTAATATAGTCTGTCCCGAAAACGCTGTCCATGTTCGGCTAACAGACTTCTGCAAAGGCAAGGAGTCAGAGTCTCTCTTCCACTCGGAAAATAATATAAAATTTTATATTAACAAACTAAGAACTTAATAAAAAATATTTGCAAAATTTTCAAAAAACTTATTTAGAAACAAAATTATTTCGCATTTCAGGAAACAGTTTATTCCTCTAAACTTTAACAATGTAATAAAATGAATTTAGACGAAAAGTTCTTTAAAGCAAAGACGAATAGAAATTATATATGGTTTAATTCCAAACCAAATTGGAATTGGAAGAGTTTTTAGTGTGACCCCGGAAGAACCAATTATTCCAATCCTAAATCTTTAGAGATTGTTTCTGTTAGATATTCATCGTATTGGAAAACGCACTAACTGGAATTTTACGTTATGTGCATGCATCGATTAGAATGAAAGCTCTTAATAAAATAAGGCCATCACGTTTATAATTGGAATTAATGTGGATATACAAAATTTAAATTTCTGACAAATAAATGCACTATTTGATTAACTTTATAAAATGTACTTAACTTGTAAAATTAATGGCATTTGTCGAGTTTTTTTTTAATAACCTAATATCAGAGATATGATTAGTATTTCTCCGAGTGTCGGACCTGTCAAAGGGCCTTGGCCCTGAAGTTGGCCTGGCCCTCGAGATCTGTGGCTGTTGCTTTCGCTGTTTATCAGTCTATCGCCGCTGTACTCGCACTTACCACATGCTGGGCAGCCAGTCCCGAAACCTTTTGGCCAGATCCCAGACCCAGACCCCGAGAATAACTCCTACTCTTACTCCACCTCCTCCTCCGAGTCGATGGTCGATGGCCGGCGATAGCGATGTTGCAACAAACGGCAATGGCAACGGCAACATCGGTGCAACAGCAACATTTTCGTGTTGGCGACATAAAAATATTTCCGCTTTTACCGGCAGACAGACGCTCGTCGCGACACCGAGACAATAGATTTTGGGACCTGCATCCGATCCGAGCATCGAGCATCCTGCACTCTCGTCCTGCGGTGCCATGTAGATCGGTATCGGGCTCGTTCTCATTGATTTCGCATCTTGTTTTCGTACCCCCGCTGTTTTTCGGCTGGCGACTATTTGCAACATGCCTGTCATAACTGCGGCGGCGATTTTCCGAATCCCATTTAGTGACGAATATGCGTCCGATTCGCAGCCATAAGTGGTATATAGTATATATTCTAGTGCTCCACAGCAGCTGCCTCTGTCACTCCACCATTATCGCCTTAACAGCTGGCAAATGTCGCAGCGAGTTGAGACAAGACGCCCAGAGATAATTGTCGTGTTAAACTTAATCAGCGCTCTATATTACACGCCTGTCCCACGCCTATCAGTGCCAAAGTCTGTGTTCCTAAATGTTTTCTCTGATTCCGATCGAGTGTCTAATGGCGAAATGTGCATGTACCAGTGGCGCGATTAAGGAGGCAATCTCTGACAACTCCAAACGCAGTGCAAACGCGAGCTATTTGCTCCTAAAGTCACTGCCAGAGTCACGACATGCCCACATGCTCGCCTGATGCTGTTCAGATTGATTCGGGCTTATCACCTCACTGTGCTGCACAGTGACACCAAAATGTAGTTTCTTATTTATATCAAATATTATAATTTTCTATGGAAAAAGTATTAAGTATTTAAATGGAAATGTACAAATTTCTAAAGCACTTTATTACATTTTTTAAATATGACAAACAATCATTTTTCTCATTAAACCCACACACTGTGCTCTGTCTTCGCTGATAAGGCCGACACATAACAAGCCATCCATTGACTCAAAAATAAACTCGAAGATGTCTTAATGATTTGTTAAACATGATTCTTAATAATTTTGGTTCAAGGTCTGGGCCCATTGCTCTCGGGTTCAAGCTAAAATCAGAAAATTCGTCTACAAAATTAGTCTAAAATTAAAAATAAAAAAAAAAAAAAACTAATGTGTGCGTTATCTGTGTTCTGTTTTATTTTCAGGCTGGCATCGATCTGAAGGAGAACCTGGTGGCCGGAGCATCGCCCTGGCCATATCCCTCGATGTATCACCCATACGACGCGGCCTTCGCCGGTTATCCGTTCAACAGGTGAGGATTAGTCATAGTTTGGCAGAAAGTGCGAGTACGACAGATACTTCCCCCCATTCCCATTCTTATTTCCAATCGATAAACCCCGATGGTGGTCCGCTGAAAGGCGTCGATCGGAACGTGAGTGGGATTGGGATTCGGATTGGGATTGGGCTGGGGATATTGAGGTGCTGCAGGTGCGTGCAGGTGCATTTAAATGCCGGCTCGGAAAAGTGCGTTCGAATAGTAAAAGTCTGGCATATTGGCACGCAGGCGCAGTGCAGGCATTCGGATTTCGAATTCCCATTTCCATTACCCCTCTCTCCCGCCACAAACAGGCAATTTATTCGCTTGTAATTGATCGTTTGCACGTCGGCGGGCTGCTTCCTCCAAAAGCAATACCAAAACCAAAACCGAAATCAGAAAACCACAAACACACTGCAGTGGCCAAAGCAAAGTGACATAAATTTCCAAACACAATTGCCGGTTAAACAATCGACAACATCCCGTCACGTCACCTCACGATCGGACAGGTACAATGCTGGGCCCATTGTTTCCCCTGTAATTGACACTCATAACAAAATTTGATAGTTGACTCATGCAGCTACTGTTGATGTCGATATCGATGCGTTGTTGTCTATCGACCATATACCATACACTATACACCCATCCATATTCGACATAAATCAATTTTGAGTTATTTCGCCGTGACGTGCTGGTAGTTGGCGAATTCGATTCAAAATTCAGGAGGAATACTCGCGGCCCCACCTTTAATTTTTTTTGTGTTTCATTTTTTTTGCAGCAGCATTACGATATTACGGAGCGTTGGGGGCGTTGTTGTCGTCACCAATCATTTACAGCGCTGATAGGAAAATTAAAAAAATGTATTCAGCTGTCAGGTGATCAAAGGCAGAGTGCCTGTCTGCGCAGGTGTTTCGCACTCGGCGACACTTTGCATTCAAACTTAAATTAATTAATGCAGCGGACGCAGCGTCGTTTCCATATAGCATCCAGTTGACATCGTTGTCATCCTCTCCTCTCCATTCGGATGGGATGGGATCGGATCGGATCGGGCAGCTGTCTGAGAACTACAAATGAGACAGCTACACATGTATGCGATGGCGATGTTTCTCCCCCGTCGGTGTTTTGCATTCCACGCACTGAGAAAAAAGATCTAAAATTATTTACGGATTAACAGGACACTAAAAAGGCCGACCAATGAAATAACCCACTTTATAATGAAATAGAAAGCCATTTTCAAGCTTAGAAACTACTCCTCTAAACTTTCTGAAAAACAAGTTGAGAATTATAACGCCATAATTGAAAGTTTAGATTATTTTTGTAGAATATTCACTTTATCCCCCAGTGTAGTTAAGCATTCTGGCATATATGTACGGTCTCGCAATGTATATATACCAATATACTAAAAACGTTCATGTTAACTGCCCACAAAAAGCGATAAAGGACAGTTGTCGTTCGCGAGGCATGCGGCTACATTCGACCATCGACCATCGATGGCACAGTGGGATGGGGAGCAATGTGTCAGACCGCAAACTGCACGGGCATAAATGTTCGGGCCCATGCAAATGCGTTTATGATGAACAAATTTAACGCAGAACAAAGCCGCCCGCCCACCGTCGCTTGACTGTTGGCCAGTTTAACAAATTGCAACAATTGTTCGGCCCGGCGCATATTTAAAGAACTCCAAACGACCTGGCAACAGCTGGGTCTGCATTCCATTCCGGCCTTAATCATCTGCTGGCAATTCGGGGAATGGTTCTTGGGTTGTTCCCTCTCGCCTTATCGCACAAATGATGTCCGCACCAGAGTTGAAAACCCCGTCTAACCTGGCATTTTCCCTCTTTCTTTTTAGCTACGGCATGGATTTGAACGGGGCCAGGAGGAAGAACGCCACCCGCGAGACCACCTCCACCCTGAAGGCCTGGCTGAACGAGCACAAGAAGAACCCCTATCCCACCAAGGGCGAGAAAATAATGCTGGCCATTATCACCAAGATGACGCTGACGCAGGTGTCCACGTGGTTCGCCAACGCGAGAAGAAGACTGAAAAAGGAGAACAAGATGACCTGGGAGCCCAGGAATCGCGTCGACGACGATGATGCCAATATCGACGATGACGACGATAAGAACACGGAGGATAACGATCTGTTAGGTAAGAGAAATCTCTATATCACAAATGGATTTTAAATAAACAATTTGAGGGTATAACTTAGAAGAACAAAGTTCTAAAAGTCCCAGAAACCGTAAGCTTTCTGACCAAAAATAAATTCCATTTAACATGTACAAAATTCTACCTCAAAATGTAAATTTTAAGAGAAAGTTTTAGTTTCCAGTTTTACAAAATGTATTTCCCTTGCAACCCTTTTCGATTTGAGATTTTTCTCTTCTTCCAAGAAATTTTCGATCCCATTTTATCCATGAGTCAATATATGGCCTATATGATACACATAAGTTCCTCTGGCACTAAAGAATTCGCGGTCTAATTTGGTTGAAGAATTAATATATGATTTTAAATGGTTAAAACTGAACTAACTAATGTTTTATCATGTGTGTAGAGTTCAGATAAATTCCTAGAAAATGTTTACGTCTGTATAAAAAATATATGTCTACTTGCATAACAATTTTAAAAATGTTTAGTCAAGTTAAGCCACTTTAGGGTTACGTTTTATAGACTAACTAAACGCCCTATAAAGTAGGCAATGGCATAACTATTTGATTAAAACTTCTGTTATCCTAATTATCTTATCTCGAATAAATTTTAATTGTTCTCCCTTCTCCTTTGACTCCTTGCAGACGCCAAGGACTCCGGCGTGGGCTCCACGGACGACAAGGACCGTTCCGGTCGCCTGGCCGACATGATGGCTGACCGCCCCGGCGAGAGCAACAACAGCGAGTGGTCCGAATCGCGACCGGGATCGCCCAATGGATCACCGGACCTCTACGACCGCCCAGGCAGCATGCCGCCGGGCGCCCACCCCCTCTTCCATCCCGCCGCCCTGCACCACCACTTCCGGCCGCCGGCGGGATCGCCACCCGATATCGCCGCCTACCACCACCACCAGCAGCAGCTGCTGCAGCAGCACCAGCAGGCGCAGCAGAACTCGCTGCAGACAGCGGTGGGTGGAACGGCGAAGCCGAGGATCTGGTCGCTGGCCGACATGGCCTCGAAGGACTCGAGCAAGGACTCGAGCTCCGGGCCCAAGGACAATCACCTGCCCGAGCTGCCGCCCGCGCATCCCGGCTTCTATGGCCACCCGGGCCAGCAGCCCTCGCCCGGCAAGATTCTATCGCCGCTGGCGGCCAGGATTCCCAACTATTCGCCCTACGTCCGACCCGATTTGTACCGAGGATTCTACGGCCCAGCTGCGGCGCACCTGAGCGCACCCACGCAGGAGTTCCTCGAGCATCAGCGCAGCTTTGGAGCCAGTTTGGCGGCCCACAATGGGCCACTGGGCATGAATCCACTGCTATGGAAGGCGGCTGTCTCGGGGGCGGCGGCCAATGGACCCCACTTTGCACCGCTTAGCCTCACGACCTCGGGCGGAAGCGGCGGTGGAGCCCACCAGGTGGCCCCGCCGCCCGTCGCCTCGCCCTCCGCCTCCAGCTCCTCCTCCTCGATGGGCTGCGATGTGGTCCACATACCCACGAGCAGCGGCCAGTCGGCCGCCCAGCACATGATGGGACCAATATCCAGCAACTCCACCGCCTCGTCATCCAGTTCGCACTCCGGAAAGATATCGCCCGGCGTGAATGTGACCTCGCTGAGTGCAAAGCCATGACATCCATCGGCGGCATCTCCGGATCCGGATCCCTCGACATCGGCCTCCCCCTCGGTTGCCTCGCCCATTTCCGCCTTCCGCTCGCTGATCGCCTTCCGGGAGCAGCAGAAGCTAACGCTCCTGCGGCCGTAGTCACTTCCAGTTTTCGAATCAAAATATCCGATTTCGATTTCGAGGCCCGGGCTTGAAAGGTATAATTACACTTTCGGACAATAATTTACAATGTGATTATTCGGTATTTTGATTAACGCCGCTTATACCAAATAGCAAGCAAACAGAACGAAAACGAAAAGAAAACCAGCTGAAATGCAGCGGTTCCTCTTTTGGCAAAGGGCCCTTCCAAAACAAAAAAAAAAAAAAATAAAATTCGACAAAAAAAGAAAAGAAACCGAACCGCTGCCCCAGACGTTGTGCAATTTTGTGGAGAAGATAATCCAAAAACCATTTGAAGATACGTTAATTTAATTACATACAACTTATGCAATCAGAGCTTATAGGATGTAAATTGGAAGATATATAGCAGGGCGACATCAATGAATACAACATACACATACCCGACCACTAACATATAACCGAGAGAAGGCAGATCCGAAAGACCCACTAAATTGTAGGAGCACAATTCCTGGCAGCTAGGTCCACTTCTATCACCTCAGTAGATTTCAATTATATCGTTTTTAGTTTTAAAGGCCCCGCGGGAGGACCCGAAACATATCAATCCAAGTCTGCTGAAAACCCCGATTGTAAACCCCCATCCCATTTCCTTTCCCAATTTCCTTTCCTATCGAACCGAGCCCAAACCCAAGCCAAATGTACACGAGCAATCATTGATTTAGCTGTTATTGTTTTTATCGTCTTAAGTTACCAATTTGTTCCTGTCGTTTATAAATATAATTTATTTTACTTCGTATGTACCATAATTTTCTACGTGTGTAATTATTTCCTAAACTAGAGATCCATGTATTGCTGTACTTTATGCACAAGTTGTAAGTATGTAAGCTCGCGTAATTGTAGCGCCCTAAGCGTAGTGTAAATTAGTAAAACTGTATATACTTATAATAAAAGAACGATAATGAGACACATTAAACAAAAGCCACAATTATTGGTATAAATAAACAAAATGGTACTTAATTTATTGGTTCGGGAATATTAATGCAGTGAGGGAGAGAACTTTCTAATATTTTTAAAGGTATTTAAAAGTAAATAAATAAAAGAAGTAATAAATACAAAAGTTATGCTTTCCGAATTTGCATATTTTTTTCAATCAAAACTATTACTACAATCCTACTTTTCTTTTAAAAATGTCTAGACTGAATTTAATGGGACAGCTTACCAGTGCTTTTCATTTTCTTTTTTCAATATCAAATAAATCCGAAATGAAAATAAACAAACCTAAACAAAAATTTGAAGTTTCCACTAAAAAATACTTTTGATGAGGTTTGTATTTGCGACCAATCCTCACAATAGCCATAAGTGAAAGAAAATACCTGTGAGCCCAACAAAAAAATAGAATTAAAAAAGTGCAAACAACAGCTATAACAATCAATCGAAAAATATAAAAGACAAGAACAAAGAGGTGTTAATAAATTGGAACACAAACGAGAACCGACGGTTCGTTTCATTTCCTTTCGCATATGCATAATACAGTCTTATTTTTATTGGTTAATCATAGACAGTCACATGTGGTGATTTAAGGGCCTGCGATGGTGTACGATAAACCGAAGACAAAAACAATATTTTGCTATAAACGTGTTTTCCTGTGTCGCTGACCGGAAACGCATTCGCCGACATAAACAGAACAAGAGCAAAGTGAGCAGAAAACTTATGAATGGAGCTAACAAAAGGCGGTATACGGACTGGAGTGACTGGAGTGAGCCAGGGGTTAATAAACCCTACAAGTTATTTATGGTCTTCCATTATCGACTATCGTAGCTCGATTTGCTCAGCCGTGGATAAGTGAGATTGGAGCTTTTAGAGATGTGGTATCCTTTTACTATCATAAAGGGATGAAATATGTTTAACTTTTTGCCTTACCTTTTATAAGTTCACTGGAAAATTCTATGACTATATAATTTTAGAATTATGTTCTTTTTACCAACTAAGTAATTTTTCGAATCGAATTTTCTATAAACATTTCTTAGTTTTCCAACTCAAATGGTTTGAACAAACGACCTGTTTTCAAGACATTCACAACATATTAATTTAGTTGTTAAACAAATATGAATCAAGCCCATTTATGAACACTGCATTCCTGTTTGGCTTGCCGTCGAAATGCCTTTTGGCTCCCCGCGAAGGCCGTTTTTATGGATCCGACTCAATACGAGTAGCGTAATCTGGGCTATTGAATAGAAAAAAACCAGTAGCACACAAAAGGCGGTACCCGAATTTTAAGCTGACATCGGTTTTTATGGAGTAGATTATTAATTCACGGGTACGGCTCTTTGTTGCATTATGGCATCGGACAAAAGCCTTACTCAAAAGTATCCAATCCGTATTGTCAGCGCCGTTAAAACTCAATCGTCATTGGAAATTGGAACGGATTTCGGTTGTCAGCTTAAATCAATCGTGTATCTTCTTATAGTTTCAGAGGCGGAATGATTTAATTATTGTAGAGCGGTGAGCATAATTTCCATTACAAAACAGAAAACTTTCTTCCCAACAAATTGTTTATTCTCAGCCAGCTTAGGGAAATTCCAATGTTATTGGTAGTGTCTCCATTTGGACCCCGCATCTCTCTAATCGGTTTACAGAGTCTACAGACTATATATACCCACGTTTTATTGAGAAACTGTCGACATTCGAAAAGTCACGGCCTTTATGCTTTGCCAGCTTAAGCGTGTTTTCTATTGTTTGCCTAAATTTGTTTAAACTTACACTGGTCATGGAAATTACGATAGTTCGGGGCAAGGAATGCTGATTTATTTAAATAGTATACGAAATATCTTGATATAGTACCTGAAAGTAATTATAATGTTTGGCTGGAGAAACTGCAGTTTATAAATATTATTTGCAGAACTTGGGAACTAAATTATAGGTGTCTTGTAGGTCTCACCTGAAACCATGATATTTTCCAAACCTGGCCGAAATCCACAATTATGCTAATTTCAGCAGACACACTTAACATAAGAACATGTGTTTCGAGCATTTAGCACATTGCCTTTTTACCTTTGCGTACTACCATGATATCTGGCCGGAGATTCTCGGCTTGATCCCAGAAAGACCTGAGCTGGCAAACAAATAAAATGATAATAACATGTTATTATGCAGACAACGATCACACTGCAAAGCTAAAACAATGATGGGACTAAGACAGAGTGCAGCAGACGGCTGTTCGGGCTTTTTCCAGTCGATAGGTGATGTGCAGCTTTCGCGAAGAAGTAAAACCCACATTTCCGTATTTAACCATGTGGAACTGCGACTCAAAAACATGTCCAGGTCCAGGTCTCTCAACCAAAGACAGTTCATTGTTTTTCGAAATTAAATTTGCCAACATCTCCATCAAACGTGGATGTGTATGTTTTGGACCGCACTTCGGTCGGTTCCTGTGTCGAAAAGCAGAGTGATAAATAAATTAGCCAACCAAATTGTACGAATAACTAATTTTAGGTCAGGAAAACAATTAGCTTGGCGTGGTGAGATGATTTATTCCTTCGTAAGCGCATAACTACAAAGTAGTTTTTATCAGGAAATCCCATTTGTTTTACATGGGGGGAACGAGTATGTCACCTCCTGCGGTATGGTAATTATATTGCACTCTTTCAACAATTATTTCGTTAATGCTGTCACAAATATTATGACACGTGGCCATATCCCAACACTTCAGCGGCCTCCCTTTGATTTAAACTGTATTTTTGCAGAAAATTAAGAGATCAAAGCGTTTCCTGACATATGCAAGCCCGCTCTCATTTACCTCAGATACGTTCACACATCTGTAGCTAGAGTGCGCTCTATACGCGCAAATTCAGCAATATTGGGGAATGGAAAATCATTCGAATAAGGGGTAAGCTGTAGGATAAACCCGACAAATAAAATATGGACACTGGTTAAATCAGAAACTAATGACTTAATAAAATAGACCATTTTAAAAAATCTTTAAATAAATATAATATTTTTTATCGTACATAACATTGGTAAAACAAATTGAAAGTCTGTCTTTCCAGGTTTTAATAAAAATGAAATTTGTAAATCCCTCTGAAGAATCTTATTTAACGTATTGGTAAAGCAAACTTTAAATTATATGCCGGTATCAAGTCGATATGCGCATAGTAAATTTCTGGCATTGATACGCATATCGTTTTCACCATGCAATCCGATTTCTATCTGTCGGAGATTCTCTGACTTCAAAAAAGAGAGCAATGGCGACTTAAATTTCGTGAAGCGAGCGAGATTAAAAAATTTTCTCGATTAGCAATAGAGCGGGATATCGCTTAAAGTTACATAAGTGGGAGGGAAAAATGAACAATTTTTTTGAGCATATCAAGTCAAAATGATACCACATAACATCAAATTGATCATCGTTTCATATTAAGTTTTTTTGATGTAGTAAATAAGAAATGGAATCACACATAATATATAATATAAATTTTCCATTAATATCGTTTTGAAATGTCTAAAATATTGTCTTTACCCTTTAATACCAATAATTTTTCTGACTGCATTTTGCTGGTAAATTGACAAACAGCTCCCACAGTACCGCCTCCACGGGAGAAGTGTAACTGGGATTCAGTGACCATTTTCGGGGGAGTTGCGGGGCAAGGAGTCGATCGCCTGATCGCCTGAACAACATGAGCTCTTGTTTACTCGCATGTGGGTGGAGTGCCTGGTGGTTCGGGATGTGACGGGACGGTGATTGTGATTGTGGTGCTGATGGTACTCGTACTCGTTCTCCAACTCGAACTCGAACTAGCAAGGAGTCCTGGTTCATTCAACGACTGCCACATTTCAATGGCAACCGAGATCGCTGTCGCAGATACCACAATTCGGATGTTCCTTATTGCATGTCGTGATTGCGTCAGCTTGTCTCCACTGCCTGGAGTGCTGCTCCTCCGGCCAATGCGAAAAATTAAGCGGCAACCAATCATTGTTGTGTATAATGCTCGGCCGAATGTTCAAATTGAAAAGTTGTAAATTATCGAGCTCCACCATCGAGATCGGTTCATTCCAATTAAATTTGAATCCACTGTGTTGACAGCTCATCGTGACCCTATGAAGCCCACCTTTTTCTGGTTAGCTTCACACTTTGGATGTTAAAGCTTTTCTAAATTCGAATTTTCGAAATAAAAATATTATACAAACTTCCAAAAAACCAACATATAGGATTGTGACATTTTTAAAATTATTGATATATCATTTATATTTATTTATTTAGGTTAGTAAGTTACTAAGAAAAAATCTTAAGTATTAGCTGCGAGTGCTATTGACTGTACAAACAAAAGAGAAATGTCATTAAAATATTGTTCATTTTAAAATCTTTATAAACAAAATTTATGTCAGAAATAAAAGCGAAATAAATAAAAATACCTTTTAAAATTTAATTCACTTCCCTGTAGGCTATTATTGTACTTTGCATTACAAACGACGTTTGATTCGTTTACACTTAAAACCAATTTGAAAGACACCTTTTGTGGCCAGCACGTTTGATTAGGCCATGTTCGGATGAACACTCTCGGGCACATGGACGCGATAGTTGGGATAGCAAATTGTTTTACGCTCAAATAAGTGGTACATGCGGCTACAAGTTCCTCATGGGGATTTGAGCTGTTGTCAGCGTGATCGCGCCACATGAACACGATGGTTCTGTTGATGTGGATGATCTTAATCAGTATCACCAGAAGGCATCCTCTATCCTCTGGCCTCGCTAAGTGGATGCATACCCATATCATCGCATTGTCGTTGTCGGATCGCCGTTTTCTGGGGGCATCTTAGGGATCGGGATTCGGGGGATGGGGATCCGTAGAGGTGTGCGTCAGATGCTTAATTTAAATTACCCGAGGGGCGGGACGAGCGAGTCTGTGAGCAGCGCACAGCATGAGTAGCTGCGATTTGACACCTCGACTGACAGCTGGAATTGGGGAAAATTATTGAGCGCACTGGAACACAAGGGGCGCCCATTAGATGACGA